CAGCGCACCCATGTCACACAATGCTGTGGAGGTCAGAAGAGGGCTTCGGATTCCCCTGGAACTGGAGTTTAGGACAGTTCATAGCCACCATGTGGGTGCTGGGAATCGAACCTGGGTCTGTTGCAAGAGCAGTCAGAGCTCTGAATGGCTTGATCTCTCCAGCCTAAACCTGTATCTCCTGAAAGAGCCATGTTTAATGAGTTGGCTACAATCTAACCTCAGAAGGTTTGTATGTCTCATTCTTTTACGATCTTTTCTCTAGAAATCACTGTAAGCAGTCCCTGGCAAGCACTTTACTTCAATATTAGTCTAATATTTGAAAAACTGTAATGAAGCAAAATTTTTAATATATTTTTAAGGGATCACTGAAGCTATTTTAATGAAATTTTATTATAATTCATTTTAAAAAGCAAAGAACATTTAGATGATCTTTTCTGTGTCTATATTTTTATGAATAAATGTTGCCTGCCTTTAAGTATACTTAATGAATTTAATTAATATCTTGACACTTATTTTATATGTTTAATGCTATTATTGAAACAATCATGATTATTTGAGGTCCAGAGTAATGTGCCAAAACAAAAAAGCACTTATAAGCTAAGCTAGAATTTAAACTAAGCAGTGTGAAGTCAAAGCAAGGCCAGAACTACTTGCTTTACCAACAAAATCAGGTCTATAGATTTTACTTCCAAGCCGTCACCTTAATCCTTTGGGCCTCATTGTGACAATTACTATAGTTTAGATTTTGCCTAAAAGTCCTTTAAATCCTTTAAAATACTTAGCCTATGAGTTTTTGATTTATGTGAACACAGACATAAATGATGGGCTTTAATTACATAATCACTTTCTGCACTGAAAATATTAAGGGCTCATAAGTGATACTTGACTATCACTTAAACATCAAAAGAAATAATATTTTAATTTTATTAGGACTTCCATGAATTTAAATCTTTTTAATTCTTGTTAATATTATCAATATAACTGCTCCCCCCAACACACATACACACACACTTTGTTATTTAACTTACAGTTTGCTAGGCACTTCATAGCAGATAGTACCCAGTATGGAAGGTCATCTAGATATAAAACATAAAGATTATATACTAAGTCATAGTTTTTTTTTTCAACCACACAATGACAAAGCTTTATTCATCCTCAGAAAGCCAAGCTTGCTGGTGCCTCACTTGAATATGCTGTCACCTTGAGCTTCTGCCCCTTCTCTCTCAATCCATTTCAGCTCATCTAGTCTCTTCTTTTCCTCCACTGTCACCCTCCATTCCGCTTCTGCCTGGGGTTTTAGGTAACTGTAGCACTTGGCTCCATAGGCCATGCCGAGGACCAGGGCAGCCATATAGTTTTTATTTTGAAACTTTATACATATTTATACTATTCATAGACAGATAGATGATAGATAGATAGATAGATAGATAGATAGATAGATAGATAGATAGATAATGTGTTACCAGGATAAAAATTACTGTACATTTAACTATGGGGTCAAGTGTTGTAGTTCTTAAATTTTATTTTTTATTACATTTTATTTATTCACTTATTGAGTGTGTGCGTGTGTGTGTGCATGTGTGTGCGTACACATGCACACAAAAGGTCAGAGGGCAGCCTGAAAGACTTGCTTCTCTCCTTCCATTACATGGATCCTAAGGATTGAACTCATGTCATCAGAGTTGATGGCAAGTGCTTTTACTTGCTGAGTTATCTCGTCAGCCCAGGGACAGGTTAATATTTTAAAATACGAAGTTTGAAAAAGTTAGAAAGATCTTGAGTTTGATTCTACCTACATGTAAAACAATTTCTTTTTCCCAAACAAAGAATTAATTAACTTGGAAGAATGTTCAGATATAAATTCCCAAGACTCATCTTTACCCCATTATCTGAGTTCCCATGTTGGTTCTTTCTATTGCGATGCTACATGAATATTACTGATCTGGGAGAAGCCCATTTCATCTTGCTCATCATTCTTTAGCAAGCTGCTTGGCACCTGGTAGGACCTTAATGTGTTTAAATAATAGTTTTTATTGTTTGTCTATTTTCTGGATGCTTATTCCTGTCATTCTTTTTCAAAGTCATGCAACTAGATAATTTCTTAAAATAGCACGAATAATATGTACTTAAATGGTTACTAAGTTTGAAAAAATTCCCCATTCTTTTCTAAATACCTACCTGATTTGTCTTGTAGTATAACCACTCCATGCTTACTTGTATTGGTCATGTTGTACATTATATATTGAGGAATCACTTGGTTTGGATTTATGAGTTCTCCTAAGGATGGTACACCCAAAATAGTTTTCAGGCTAAAATGAAGAGTACAAATATTTTTTTCTCCATAAAATAAGAGAAATAGAATATAAATATGAGAATGACTTGCAAAAAGCAAAGCTTATCAGTCCTTTCAAAGATTGTATTTAATATCCACTTTCAAATATACTTAACCAACAACATTCAAAGGAATCAATATAAATCCCAACTATAGCTATGACTTTAATTAGAGGAAAAAGCAAAAATCATTCAATTTCTACTGTACTAGAACTATAGCAAAAGCATTTACAAGAAACATGAGTTTAAATTCGAAGTTTTGAAAATTAACATTTTTCTTAATTTGTATATGTTGATGAAAACACCAAATCAATAATCTGCATACTACAAGGACTTGACTACAGCTTAGTTTTATCTTACTAGATCAGAATAAAGTATCTCCAAACTTCTTCGATATATTCCTGGCTTATTTCTCTGCTGTCAGCTGAGTTTTCTTTTTCTTGATCAGTACCGATTATTTCATGGCTTCCCTTCTCTGTATTTTCCTGGGGAAAAAAAAATTGTTACACTTTATATGCAAATTAAGGAAATATTTAACAGACACATCCAAATACTTAAATTTTGGAGGTTTTTTTTTTTTGGCTTATGAATGTGTTGTGTGCTTGTGTGTATACTATGTGTGTGGGTACACATATGTGGGTACTTGTGTGTGCATGTGTATAAAGACCTGAAGTTGACACTGGGTATATTTCTTGATCATTCTCCACTTTATTGAGGTTGGGTCTTTCATACTTAGTAGTTTTATCAGTGTAAGTTTACTGCTGAACTATAAAGTGTTGTCGAAAAAATAATGCAATATATAGCAACAGCTTTCAGTTTTACAACTTTCCCAACACACTCAAATCAACCTCATTTCTAGGTACCTTATTTATAATTTTGTTATCACTTTAAAATGATATGGACAGAGAGAGGTTGAAGAATTACATAGGAATTCCAGAACTATTATTTAGATGGTGAATATACTGCCAAGGAGGTATACTGGTCTTGTTCTCTAACCCAGCATCACTAGGAGATGGAACCTTTAAAAGGTGAGATTCAGTGGAAGGAAGCGAAGTCACTGGCAGCATGCCCTTGGAGGAGTTATTGGTAACCCAGTCCAGGACCCTTTACCTTCTTTCACCTCCCAGTTGCCATGAATAGTTTCTTCCATCACATGATTCTGTTGCCTCATCACAGGCCAGAAAGCAATGGAGCCAACGAAATATGGACTGAAACACGAAACCCTGCGGTTTAACATGCCTACTCTGAGGTTGATTCTGATATTTCATCACAGTCATAGAAAGCTGATTAACATACCAAGTAAGAATAATAACAACTTGATGGAACATTATTATGAAAATCCTTTTCAGGTATGTCTCATTACCATTTTTGTCCTTGTTTCTCTGGGTCCCAAACAAATTTACACATAGATTTTTATATTTACTGTAAGAGATTTCAGTATTGGCTTAAAATATTAAATAATCATTTACTTTTAATGATTCTATTATCAAACACATGGTGGTGCTATTTAAACTAGTGGTTAATAAAAGGATATTTTACCTCAGAGAAATGTAATCCATGTTTCTTAGGAGTTTTATGAGATAAGTTTCGTAATTTAAAAATACTCTCTTTATCTTTGGAAACATTCTCTATGCTGTTTTTTCTCAATTCTGGATGTCTTCGTGGAAGAGCTTTAAGTGGAGAAGTTGCAGGAAATCTGTTCAAAAGCAATATGTAATTAAATGGCTTGAGATAGAAAATAAATTTCTAGAGTATATCGTATGTCATACAAATAATCTGATTTACTGACATTATCAAGTAGTGAAGATTCTACATAAATCAATATTCCATCGAACTTTTAAAATATTTTAAGTTTCTTGCTTTCTTTAGTACATTGTACATATTTGTTTTGTTTATGCACAATGCAGGTTACTATTAGTACTGATTTGGTTGAAGTCTTAATACACAAACATCTCTATAATGCTACATTTTATAAACTCCTGTGAGAAATTATCCAGTTTGTATATCTGGCCTTTTGACTGTCCTCATTTTTGAATGGAACCCCTTGTTTGTTTTGATAATTCATGTTGTTTTTCATTTTAATATGAAATATTTTTCAACAATATAAGAAAAGAATATAAACTAACATACATATATGTAACTATCAAGCAATATAATTGTTATATTTTGTCAAATAGCTCATTGTCGTTTTTAAGTAAAAGTAATTCTTTGCTTATTTATCTTCTTCCTAAGAGAAACCATACACTTGTAGTACATTTTCCTCTTTCCCTCTCCTATGCTTTCAATAAATAAATGTAAACAATATATAGTCTAGTGTATTTTTACTTTTTGGTATCTTTTATCATACACTAAATTTATATTTAACTTTTTAGTAGCATTAGAAGCTCTTTCTTTACTATAATATACTTTTGTATATTCTTTTGTAAGTTTTGTTTTTACATATTTAGGTATTTAAACCAGGTACAACTTTCAAAAAGATTTTTATCTTTAATTATGTATATGTGTATGTGTTTGCTTGGAGGTATGTGTAACTGAGTGCAGATGCCCACAGAGATCAGAGTTACAGGCACCTGATATGGGTACTGAGAACTGAACTCAGGTCCTCTGCAAGTGCAGCATGTGCTCCTAACTGTTGAGCTATCTCTATAGCCCCAACTTTTTGTTTTTTTGAGAAAGGGTCTCTTCAGTCCAGACTAATCTTGAACTTCTATGTAACTGAGGATGACCTTGAATTCTAATATTCTTTCCTCTATCTCCCAAGTGCTGGGATTACAGGCATATACCACCAGGTCCAGTGCCGCCTGTAATTCCTATCAAATTCCCACCTATATGTGAATTTGTTTTCGCAGTGTATTATTGTTTAAACCCAAAATTCAGGTAGACATTCTTCACTCCTCGTTCTTTGAAACTTCCTTGAATCTTTATCAAATGAATTCTAGAATCTGCTTGTCAGGTTCTACAAGAAGGAAGGAAGGAAGGAAGGAGGGAAGGAGGGAGGGAGGGAGGGAAGGAGGGAGGGAGGGAAGGAAGGAAGGAAGGAAGAAAGAGAGAAAGGAAAGAGAGAAGGGAGGGAGGAGAAAAAGAGAGAGAGGGGAGGGAGGGAGAAAGAAATTGAGCTTTTAAATTAAAATGTACTGGATTTATATACCAGTCTGGGAATAACTTACCTATATGATACTAACTCTTACTTATGAACAGGGTCTCTTTCTCCATTTATTCTTTTCAATTAGAATTTTATATATTTTTAAAATAAGGCTTTACATAATTTAGGTAAATTTTATTTCTAGGCATTTAACAGTCTTTTAAAACAATATAAGAGGTTGAGAGACTAGTTGATGAGTTATGAAAAAAATCCAGGTAAGAAAGAATAATCTAATAAAGAGTTCATATTGGAAAGAGAAACACACAGATAAGTGAACTACTGGGCAGTATGGCAGGATTTAATAACTAAACCATAGTTAAGGTGGAGAAGGAATGAATCCAGGCAACTCTAGGGAAGAATGCCATTCATTCAGAAATAGAACAAAATATGGGTTAGAGCATGAGAGTGATTTTCTATATGCAAATATATTTAAGTGCCTATCTAGTAGGCAGTTGGAAAAATAGAAGTTTGAAAGTTACATGAAAGGCAAATTAAAGGCATGGCTTGAGTCTGCCCACAGGGCAAGCTCAAGTGAAGATAAAGTCTCATACTTGCAGATCATGGGTGAGGAGCTGCAAAGGAGCCTACAAAAGTAATGAGATGTAATTAAGAGAGGAGTTCTAGAATGCTACACAAGACAGAATATTCATATGCTTTTTATTGAAATTTACTTGTGTGACGTAGTCCTTTCTGGTACAAAGGTATTATACTTTGTCCCATCTGTAATTTATGTTGAAATTTTATTCCTCATGTAAAGAGGGTACAGAAGTGGTGCGACCTTTAAGATGGACTAATTCTTTCGAGGATGTTTCCATCTCTGGCAGGACTGGCCCCAACTACCACCAAAACGTAGGCACCTTTCATGTTTGCCTCTTTCCATGTGTTTGATTGCCCTTCTGCTTTGCTGCCATGCTATGATGTTGCACAAGATGGAGCTGAGCTCAGAAGAAATGTGTGTTTATTAGTATAGCTTGTGTATTATTGTGCTTTAAGGTGGAAAAACTACCAGAAAGAGAACATTTGTTGAAGCATGGTCTTAGTATCTTCATCTACAGACAGGGCTTAATGCATTCCTTGCTCAGCTTCCCAGGGATTACATCAGGAAACATATAAATAATAAAGCAGTGTCTGGTAGATGATAACTATGTTCTATTTAACCTGTAGTTGACTTCTTATCTGCTTGTTTTTTGTGGTAGTGCAAATTAAATCAAGAAACTTGTGTAACCTAGGCAAGTGCTCTACTAATGCTGGCATATATTACTTGTTACATAAAATTTGTTATCAGCTTATGAGAAGTTATCATATTACATGTTATTTAAAGACAAGGAACTATGAATTTGTTTTGCAGTTAAAGAATCCATGAAACTAAAAGTCAATAAAAATATCTTTGGAAAGTTATAAGGCTTTCATACAATGCAGAAGTGATAATATCTGTTTTCCTTCCAATTTCTTACTTTATTATATATACATTAACATTTTAAAACTCTGAATTTTGTACTTTATTATATATACATTTTAACATTTTAAAGTTTGAACTTTATAGCATATATCTTTACCATACAATTTTTCTACATAGTTTTAATTAAATTAGGAGTAGCAATATTTTTCTAAAGAAAACATTACTTTTCTTGAAGAAGCTGCTATTGTAGTAAAAGTATAATAAAAGTATAGCTAGAACTTCATAGGAATTTTGTTTCATAATGACATATGTATTCAGTACCTGAACAGCTGATTGTTGTCATTAAGGTTTTCTGATCCCCACCTGCCTTTGATATCTTCAATTACATGATTCTTAAGAAATTTTCTCAATAGTTGAATAGTCTGTTGCCTTGTAACTTCAGGACAAAAATTATTATTATTTCTTAACAGGTTATAAAGCCAGTCTACTGCTTCTCCTGCTGTGAAACAATTGCCATATTTTTTAAAGTGTTGTCTGTGTTTTCTTAGAGGCATTCCTGCTTGAAAAGATGTGGTGACTTCATTCCACTACAAAAAGAAATATGTTTTAAAAAATTTCAGCAACAATGAAATTTCATTGATTTGGTACATAGCCAATTTGAGGCCAGCCTTGGCTGGCTACATGAGGCCTTGTCTGAAAATAAAGAGAATCATTAGACAAAGAAAATTCTTTATCTCACAACTGATTAATCTGTAAACATTCTTCAAGAAACCATCTCATCTGTAATGCATAAAATTTTAAATCTCACTAACTTCCCTTTCACTAATTCTAGTGTTATAATATATTCTTATAATAGACTTTTTACTAAGCATCCATTGGCTACTCCACTTATTTAGGAAACTTAGGAGAAAAACTGCAATGTACTTCTTTCTTTTTATTATTATTATTTTTATTTTATGTGTATGCGTGTATTGCCTGCATGTAGGTAAATGCACCCGTGTCGTGCAATGCCTGCAGAGGACAGAAGAGGCCGTTGGCTCCCCAGGAACTGGAGAGTTGTTAGCTGCCATGTGGGTGCTGGGATTAGATTCTGGTCTTCTGCAAGAACAGTCAGTGTTCTTAACTGCTGAGCTATTTCTCCAGCCCCATTTACCTGTTTCTTAGTCCTTGATGAAGCATTTCACCTGTGTTTTTACTTCAATGAACATTAATAATATGCTGGTAACATTTAAGCCAGACAATATGTTTTATACTCAGTATTTCACTTTAAATTTGACAATCTTATAAGAGACTATTACTCTCATTTTTTCTCATAAGGAAAAAGCAGCACAGATTAATAACTTGATCAAGGTTATACATCTAAGTGATGAATCTAGGCACTTAAACACAGATTTGGAGGTGGGGCTGGGTACAGGCCTGGAATCCCAGCTAATCAGGAGGTTTTTAAGTTTAAAGGCCTAGCTGGGCTATGGAGTAAGTTCAAGGCCAAACTGGGCAACTTAGTTGGTCCCTGCCGACTAAGTTTTATTTTTATTTTAAAGTAAAAAGTGAAAAAGAAGAGTTGGGATTATGGTTCAGTGGTAGAATGCTTGCTTGGCTGCTTAGGTCCTAGGATACTATAGTATCCCTTATGAAGATCCCTAGTGAACATAAAACAAATGAGGTAAATTAGCAAAGTTAATCCACTGCATATTTAATGACCCCATGCACATCTACATTAAAAACCCAATATATTCTATATTATCCTCAAATCATTCAAATTTCCACATTTCTGACAGCTCTAACACTGGAACTTACACGTGGTGGTGGTGTTATAGAATCAATACATCCGTTTTTAATGAAAAAAAATCATGGATTAAAAATCTAATTTCGACAGGCATGGTGGTGCACGCCTTTAATCCCAGGATTAAAGGCCTCTGTACTCGGGAGGCAGAGGCAGGCGGATCTCTGTGAGTTCAAGGTCAGCCTGGTCTACATAGTGAGTTCCAGGACAGTTGGGGCTACAGGGAGACCATGTCTCAAGAAAAAAAAAAAAAATCTAATCTCTAACCTGAATTTTGTGACTATTATACTGCCACTATGTAACATGTGTGGCCTTGGCATCACAACACTAAATTTACTTACTACTGGAAGACAGTAATTGTAATTCTTTTTCTTCTCAAACCTCTCCATTGCTTAAAATCTTTTCTGTGTACTGGCCTGGGTACACAGTAGTAAAATGACAGGTATCTGCATTCAAGGGCATTATAGAATAGCTTTGCTGAAATACAATATACTGGAGTAGATTTAGGAGTAAAACATTTAGGGTTTCTTTCCAGCTTTAGCTCTATTCCTTGTTTATGAACTTCTTCTCTGTGCCTCAATATCCTTATCCATAAAATGGGAACACTAATGGGCTTGTAACAATAAAATGGCTTCTTTCATGTAAAGTATTTTTAAGTGCCCACTGAATTTTTTCAGTGACAGGACTGCCTTATTAAGGTACTTCTTGTCTAAATTCTGTCCTTCACAGTGATAAATATAACCACCAATTACTCATTGAGTAGTAGAATTCGTGTGAAGATCACGGTGTATTTTCTAGCTCTTCCATTTACTGTTTATATGACTTTAGGAGTCAATTCTGTGAGCCTTTGTTTCCACACTGGAAAAGTAATACAGGCACTCCTTGAGAGGAGAGGGTAACTTGTTCACTATTTTATAGACCACCTCTTAGTATATTACAGACCTACTGTGCTGTGGAAACTGAAGCTCACAGATGCTAAGGGAATCACCTAATGTCACATAACTAGAAATATATACTACTTTACAGGACAGAAAACTCAAATTCGCTGAACACTATGTGAGAGGAGACACATGCGGTGACAACCATTGTGGTCACTAAGGGAACTTCAAAGTATTGTTTAGTTTGACACAGTCAGCTGCTTCGCTAGTGCAACCCGGCAAGTCCAGCCTACAACCTCTAAGGACACCCAGGTCCCTCAGGGCACCTAGGTCTCCATTAACCCAGATCTCCAGGTCCTTCATAAACCTGCGTCCCTGGTCCCTGCCCTCCGCCGGCTCGAACACGTTCTTACCAGCTTGGTGGCCCGGTAAGGCCCGAGAGGCGCACCCTCCATGGCGGTCAGTGCCCCGCAGCGTCCATGGCAGGGAGGCGGCAAGCGGACGGAGGCGGCCGGGAGAAGTGCTCGGGCCCAACCGCCGCCGCTGCTGATTTGAATATTTCCGCGCCGCGCCGATTGGCTGCCCGTTGCGTCACGTGACGCCGCGCCGGCCTGGGTCGCGGGACTGCTCCGGCTGGTCGGGGTTCCGGATGCGTGAGTCCCTGGGCTCCGGGAGGGTTGGAGACCTGCGCCCGGAGGGCTCGTGTGTGGTGGTCCAGCCTCTGGCCGAGAGTTTGAGAAGTGAAAGGAAAAGCGAAACGCAAGCAACGGGACGGGAGGTGGTAGTAAGTTTTAAATAAGTCGGGAGAGCTTCCTCCTGGCGGGACTCCGACCGGACTGGCGGGTGTCTGCTTCTCCTCCTCCCTGCCTCTTGCTCTCACGCAATTAGGAGCCACAGTTCGATTCTAAGTGAAATACAAGTCGGTTCCTCTCCTGGAATAGAGCATGAGCAGAGTTTCGTAAGTACAACATAATATGGGACTTGGGAAAGCTGAAAATTTTCCATTTCTTGAGAAAACCCCCATATTTTCAGAAGACATCTAGATATGTTTATACCACAGTCACACACATAAAACACCCCGGGGATCTTTCAAAAATAAGTCCGCAAAAAGTCTTAATTGTCAAATGACAAAAACTAAGGTGAACTCTTGCCTGAAGTCTCGGGACTCCTTGGCAGAGCTCAGACTTTATACTTTAATAAACAATAAATGCCCTGTCATCATTCTTTAGCAGTTTGGTGGTAAGAATCTCTCAGCACAGTGACTGTAATGTACTCTTATGAGCTAACCCAATACTACTTAATACAACACCTGTCATAAAAGTCGAAATAAGTTCATCTCTTAAATATGGCAAAGCATGATGGTTTCCCACTTAGAAATTGTTCTAGTTGGCATTTTCTATGCTGTCTATAGACTTTCATTTATTCCTATTAGAATGTCAGATTCATGGCTGAGAATTTAGTGGGTTTACTGCTGTATTTTGAGCCCCTGATCAGCACATAGTAATAATTTAATAAATATTTAGTGATTGAGTGCATTTTTTTTTTCTAAGACAAGGTTTCATTCTATAGTCCTGGCTCCCTGACACTCACTATGTAGATCAAGGTGGCTCTGAACTCACAGAGATATACCTGTCTTTTGACTCCCAAATGCTGGGATTAAAGGTGTGTCCCACCACTACACCTGCTTGAATTTTTTTTAAAATCTTGTTGAAAAGAAACTTTTTATATAACCCAATTATCTTTCCTTCCAAAGAAATTGTTAATGAAATCTTTTTTGTAAAGTTTGTGTATCTTTAAATCTTTAAAATCTAGCCATCCTGCCATACTATGTCTAATTATAAACTTTATTTC